GGAAGAATGGGAAAAGGTGGAAATTGGCTTCAAACTCCTTCCTCATAAATGCAATAGAGTAGCAGGAAGGTCAAAGAAGAGAAGGATGGTTGGAGTTGAAGAGGGTGGGTCAACCAGCAAAGGCAAGAGAAGGTGTAAAAGGTGTGGTGGACTTGGCCACCTCTAGAAAACCTACAATGAAATCTGCTCCTAGACCCGATGCACCACCACGTGCATCACCAAATAAGAAGAAAAGGACTTACAAGGCAAAAGTGGTTGAGATTATAGAAACCAGAGATGATCCATCTAAGAAGAGGAAACTAAGCAAAGAAGAAGAAGAAGACAACTCCAGGAGAGCCTACACCTAGATAATCAAACTATGGAGAAGTGATCCATCTCTTGGAACTATTTTTGATTAGTTTAAAGGCATGATTATTTAAAACATGTTAACCACATGTTTCATCTTCTTGGTTTCAAACTCCCAACGTGTCTTATACTAGGAACTCCACAACATGCCTAACAATCCATTAGTAGAGAAAATAGCCCAAGGGCAATGACATTAGTCTCGGCTAATTCAGCCGGACATGTGAACAAGCGCATGCACTAGGAGCAAGAGTGCGTGAGATGGATGTCTAGACACCGCAAGCAAACGAAGAGAAGAAAGCTTTTGAATTACGTGCTTTTGTGTGATTTTGTGTGCTTTTGAGCCTTATGCCATATGAACTTAAACTTGGTATTGTAATGTATTAACATGGTATGTATCATGGGCATATGAACTTAGTCTCTGGTGGTGTTAACCGGACTAAACATCCTAGTGAAGAGGTTAATGTATTCTTGTGAACTTGAAGGCTTGGTAATATAGCGTGTGAATTCAAGGTTTTGTTGAACTTGTTGTATGTTGCTAACCTTATTCAAGTTGGTCATTTGAAAATTTATTAACACGGGAAATCCATGTGTCACATAGTGATCGAACTCCACAAAGACTTTGCATTTCACAAACATAGGAGACAAAGAGAGTTATCCAACAATTGTTTCATACAATAACATTTATTTTGGCAACAAAGTATACAACTCTACCTACAATCATGAGAGAGAGTCGGGGACCATACAATGATCCACCTAATACTATTAGTACATAATATATTCTACACAACACATAGATAAACTTTGGTAAAAGGATAAGCTAGGTGAACTCATTGTTCGGGTTAACTTTTATCTCTAATTATAATTATATTATATTTTAAAAATAAAGTTCATACTTGAAGAATCATCCAGCCCTTTGTTTCACGTACTCAAGTGGATAGCAAACATAGAAAACTCGAACTGTTGGTGCATGCTCGAGTTAGAACACAACATTGGGATGGTGGGGAGATTCGATTTGAAAATGCCGAATGGGGTGCCAAGATAAATGCAAATAACTCACGCTTTTGCCACGATTACCACCATGCAAGTGTAGCCGACGCTTGGATGCAGGTTGATGGAGGATAGGGAGTTGTGGGCGTCCACCGCTCCAGAAGAATAGGGAGAAGCGATCGATGAGGCAGACACCAAGGTGGTGTTAGCAAATGAGAAATTGGGGAGCTCTGGGGATCCACCCAAACTTATCGAGGACAATATGCCCAAAGGGTGGCCATATAAATTTCAAACGGGCGCGTGAAAGCGGCTTTTTCGTGTCGAAAAACGATGCTAGCCATGCCGCCGGCCGGCCTTGTCTTTATCGTGCTTGGGCGAAGGTCGGCCCGGAGGAGAGTGAGCCGCACGGCCCATTCCAGGCGGCACGCAGAGCGGTTCTTATGGGTCCAACCGGATCGCGGAGGTGGGGCATGGCCGTTGGAAGTGTGGTCGAGGGCACGGATGTCCAAAATAAGCCGCCTCTCTCCTCAACCGGCTCGTAAAAAGCCTCTCGCCCTCTTCTCTTTGGTGTCCTCTATGGCCTAATTTCAACTCGTAACCCCTAACGAGTGTCTTTCGCGGCAAAATGCTCCAAAGTGGGTGTCCGTCACCATGGAAAGACCATCATTTTAGATGTCCGGTGACAATTGTCCCTTTCCTTCCGCCCTCAATCTCCCTATAGCTCGATCCGGTGGTTTGACCCATCTCCATCTTGGCATAGGAGCTTCATCCTCGAACGTCGATTGAGCTTCGTTCTCGGCAGCGTAACAAAAAGGAGTGCTCGTCCCCATCCTGGCCGCCGCCACTCACGAGGCTCGTCCCCGTGCACCGGGGGGTGTCATCCCGTCGTCTCATCGTGCCAAAGATCGAGAAGAAGAGTAAAGGAGGGTAAACCCTAACCCTAACCTCCTAACCTAACCCTAATCCCCAATCTAACCCTGCTTTTGGATCTGTTGATTGCAAGGCAATCAAAAGCGAAGAGGGCGAGAGAGATGCAACATCCGATTTATTTTTTGAAACATTGAGATGCAACACTTGCAACATACGGGATGGCGGAATGATGAGGATGAAACACTTGCGAAAAAACACTGCGTAAAACACTTGAAAACTGATAAAACATATACAACACCCCTAGTTGATCGAAAACACTGGCAGAGTATGTGTGAAACATATGCAACATCTAAATAAACACACCACATCATACGTCTGGAGGAAATTTGAAACATTGGGAAAAAGCTTGCAACATACGTGAAACAACCAAAGCAACATCCGCCGATCTTCTTTTGCCACATCCACATGCAACACTTGCAACATCCATGGATGAAATCTTACTCAAACATCTTGCTAAGTGTCTCTTGAAACTTGCGTTTTTCCGGCATGACTCGGACTCATATTGCTTTTAATTACGATGGTTCATAGAGCTGGGAGTCGGCAATGGCGGCGAGGTGAAGCTCATATTGAACTTGGGCGAGGATGCTTGCTAGATTGGACCTACCTCTTATGATTGGTGAAACTAAGGCATTTAAAGATTATATTAAAACTGCTCATAACCCTAATTTTTGGCTCGCTCTAAGCAAACCATGGCGGTAGATCTGTGTTTAAATACTATAATGAGAAATGTGGCGGGGGTGCATGGAAAGGATAATGTTGTTTCATAGTTGAATATTACCTCGATATATGGTCTAGAAATGCTAAAGAAGATTATTAAGTTGTGGCTCATTTCATTAAGGCCGATTGGCAATTAGAGAAAAGATTTTTTGGTTTAAGGTGATTGATGTGTCCCGGATAAGATAAGGTAGCTTTGGAGTGTTGCATCCGTCCTTCTTGAGTATGGTATACTTAACAAGTTTGAGCATTAACTTTGGATAATGCATCCGCGTTTAAAAATGATATGGATTGAAACCTAACTAAACAACATGGTTTATAATCGAACTCAACGATGTGCCTAATCATCCATTACTTGAGTGAAAAAGAAGTTCAAGCACATTAGAATCCTCTCATTGAGGACTAATTTGAACATCAATCTCTTTTATGAAAGTTAATCAAAGAATTGTTGCATACAAGAGTTATTGCATTGCTAGTGGTGTTAGACCTAGAAAGTTTGGATTAGATCATGTTGTTGATGAACTCTACCTACCTAATGGGCACTTAACCCTTTAGTCCCGGTTGATAACATCATCCCGGACTAATATAGATTCCTTTAGTCTCGGTGGTGGTTTCCTTTTGATGATGATCAACGAGCTATGGCAAATAAAATCTTGAACTACTCTATGTTAGCTGTTGAAGGAAAGCATCCCATCTTAAATCATATGTGTCCACTTATGTCATCTTGTTAAATTGCTATACACTGCATAGGTATCAACATGATTAACATCTAAGATCCGTTATCCAACCTATGATTGACAAATACAATATAGAGTGTGAGAGGCATTATAGATCCATGAGCTAAAATTAAAGGATTTACCAAAATGCTTAGGAAGTACCCCGATTATTGACTAACTAATAAGTTCTTTGACAAGTTCATGTGTCTCCTAGTGATGTAATGAACTCTAATAGTTGAAAAGGGTTGTTCCTCCTCCATCGCTCAAACTCGTATGAACACATGATGAGAGTTGGATTTGAGAGTTATCCAACGATTGTTTCATGCACTTCAGTTTATTTTGGGTTGGACTAAACATGCTGCTCTTCCTCGTGCAATCATGAGAGAGAGGCAGGGACCATAGAAATGCTATGCACCTCAATATTATTAGTACATAATATAATATACACAACACATAGATAAACTTTGGTAAAAGGATAAGCTCAGGTGAACTCATGTGAACCTTACATGCAAACTTTTATCTCTAATTATGCTATATTTTAAAAAATAAAGTTCACTCTTGAAGAATCCAGAGCCCTTTGTTTCCGTACTTTGAAGTGGATAGCAAACAAAGAAAACTCGAACCGTTGGTGCTGGCCCGGTGGGGACCATCATGCCAACACCACCGTACCGGTGCCAAGTGATAGGAAGGGCGCCATGCCGCTTTTGCCACAGTTACCACCATGCATACGCTGCCGACCTTGGGAGCAGGGAAGAATAGGGAGAGCGATCGATGAGACAGACACAGACACCAAGGTGGTGTTAGCAAATGAGAATTTGGGAGCAGCCGGGGATGGACGACCGCTTATTAGGCCTGCCGACAATATGCCCAAAGGAGTGGCCAAGCACAACATACATACATGCATCTTGGGTGTGCTAACCTGTACTATGGGATGGGCCTCATATGCATATCTTTTGCTCATATATATGTTTGAAATTAGAGCCAATTTTTAGCTGCGAGTATTAATTAGATCAGGATCAAACAGCTACATGCATGCGCTTAATCAATCTAGCAGCTAGGCTAACCTAGCTCCGATGGATCCTTCTTCATTTCCCGGCCGATAATGTTTTTCTTTCTCAGAGATCGATCGAGTTGCATTGTATCGATCAGCCGATGCATGGCGCTTCTTCGCCCATGCATATGATGCGTGTGGCCAATGGCGATGGATCGAACAGCTGACCCCGATGCGCGCGATTACATTTACATTACCCAACCCAGAACAAAACTAAAAGTCGCTTCGCTGCAGCCTGCACGAAGGCTAGGTCCCTGCTACAACCTGAGCTCCAAATCGAGCTCCTCGGCGCTGGCCCCGTCGCTCCTGCTGCTCATCATCCAGTAGTGTTGCTGTGGCGGCGGCGGCGGCTGCCCCAGCAGCCTGTGTCCCGACGAGTCCCTGACGTCGTGCGCGTACAGCGACGGCGTCGGCGCCGGCGGGCTCGTCGGTGTACTGCTGTACGGCAGGAGGCTGTCGTAGTAGTGCACGACGCCCCGGTGGTGGTGGTGGTCCGTCTCCTCGAAACAGCGGTTCTGGAAAAAGGATAAGAGACGGGAACATCTGATGAGACGACGACGTACGCGATGCGCGCGCGCGGACGTTGGAAACTAGAGCAAGCAATGCGGCGGCGGCGGCGTTCCACCGCCAGCAACCAGCAGGGATGATCGGAAGACGCACGGAACGTACCGTGAGATGATGGTACGGCTGGAACGAGGAGGCGCCGCCGGGAGCGACGGCGGCGGCTGGAGGCGGCGGCGGCGGCGGCACCAGCTGATGCATCGTCATCGCCGTCGTGCTGGCGGCGTCGTCGTGAAGCTGCTGGGCGGCGGCGGAGCGGTAGGCGGCCAGCATCTGGTTGTGGAGGCGGATCTTCTCGAGCTGCGCGACGCCCAGCCCGCGCTGCGGCTGCTTCTGCTTGGTGGTCTTGCCGCCGTCCGTTCTGCCCCAGCTGCCGCCGCGCCTCCCCGGCCGCCGCCGCCGCCGCCGATCTCCATGCACATCTCCCTCGCTGGCGACGAATAGTCGTCGAAGCTGCTGCTGCCCATGCACTAACTCTCTCTCGCCAGCTGTGTAAGGCGTGGCGCGCGTGGGCGATGATCTGGAAGCGAGACAGCGACCGGCGGGTGGTTTTATAGAGCGACGGCGACGAGCGAGAGACGCATGGCTGTTAATTAATTAAACAGCTATCTATATATATGATACTCCGAGCTAGCTGTGGTGTGGTATGGGATTGGGATCCATTCGAATCCGAAGAAAGATTTGAGGGCGATCTGGCTCCCGATTTTCTATGCACCTGCACTTGCATTTGCATGCAAGCCACACCCTCTCCGAGCTCACTTCCGACTTCCGAGAAGGATCCGATCGATCCATCGCAAGTGGAGCATCTTGTGTGATCCATCATGTCCTTCAATATTAACATTAAAAACGATCATTAGCTAGCTGGTGTGTGTGATTAGCTAGCTAGGGCTATGTCCGGTCGCTCGTATAAGCCGATTTATCTATGGTAGGTATAATATTTTTCTCTCTCCACGTATCAGCCGTATAAATCAGCAATGGCGATTTTACCGGCAGCCGAACTGGACCGCGGGATCGATCGATTGAGTCGACTGGAGCGTGGCTGGTACTGACCCGCGTGTCATAAATGACCGTAAATTTTTACGCAGAAATAGTGTTTTTACTACCAACCAAGTGGGCCGATGCAAATAACCCGTGTCGGCTTCCCAAACATGAGTCGACTGGCGCGCAATTTGGTACTGACGCCCGCAAGATCAGTGACCGTACGGTGGCCACAAAATTCCAAGTTTTTTCACTCCGTCTCTGACATTAACTACCAACCAAGTGGGCCTCGCAAACAACCCGTGTCGTAAACAAAGCCACACACGCATGTCGCGCGCCTCGCAATTTGCACACACGCGTTCATCGGTCATCAGGATCATATGTATGTATGAGATCCCTCCATCCCATCACGCATCCATCCATTATTATATTATATAATATAATATACAGTATATTATTGTGTTCTTCGTCGACTTGACGTAAACAAAAGGGGAGCAGGCTACCAAGAAGGAGTACTCGATGGATCGTATCAAGATCCCGGCCCCGGAGGCGATATCATGTATAGACCTTAATTTTTTTTGGTTTTTTTTTTGTCTCTAAGCTTATCTCGGGCTTTAACGCAGATCCAAACGATTCCAATCCACTCCATATGCTTATGGCATGCTGAATCAAGGCTGGTGTGGATCTAAAAGAGTTGGTCGAGTACTGCTCGCGCGGCGATCCCGGCGGCCGGCGCCATCCGTCTGCCCGCTGCTTGAGTACCCGCCGGCGGGCGTTTTTGATTTACTGAGGTGAGCATCACAACCGGCTCGGCCAATATGGTAAATCAATCTTTACCGAGACGGTTGAAATGCCCGCCTCGGTAAATCAAATAAAAAATAAAAAAGGAAACCCCGTGGACAACACCCAGTGTGCCCACCCACGGGGCCGTCGAGCCCATCCACACGTCGCCGGATCCGATGCCCAGCCACCGGGGGCCTCCACCGCCATGCCGCCGGATCCGGCCATAGGGGCCACCCCGCAACCGGATCTCGCCATAGGAGAAGCCCCGCAACCGGATCTCGCCGTAGGAGAAGCGCCGCCGCGGATCTCATTGTAGGGGAAGCGCCGTCGCCGGATCCAGAGGTAGGGAGCATCGCTGTGGTGAAGGTGCCCGCCGCCGCTGTGGGGCGCCGTGGTGGAGGTGCTCGCATTGGGGCGCCTGCCTCCGCGCGCGCGTGAGCCAAGGTGGTGACGTGCCGTCGGGGGAGAGGGAGGGCCGTGGTGGTGGGGCGCCGTCGGGGGAGAGGCAGGGCCATGGTGGGGCGCCGTCGGGGGAGAGGGAGGGCCGTGGTGGGGCGCCGTCGGATATGCGAGCTCGAGCAAGGGCCGCTGGGTGGGGAGGGGAGGGGTGGGGCGCGTGGCATCGGGATGGGAGGAGGGAGGGAGGAGGAGAGGTGGGGCGAGATGGGTTCACGCCCCTCGTGAGGGGCGCCGTTCTGGGGGGTCGATTGAGAGAGGTGAGGGAGAGAAAGTGAGAAGACAGAATGAGTAAAACCCTAACTGGTGACCGTATATATACTCAGGTCGTGCTAGTGGGCTGGTCTGGGCCTCTTGGGCCTCGGCCTTTTTTTCGAGGCGGGCCATTTAGGAGGTCCGCCTCTGAAAATAGAGGCATTTTGGCCCACCTCGGTTAATAGATTTTAGGATGAAGTTATTTTCTAACTGCCTTGGTAAAACGATTTTGCGAGGCGGTTGACTGTAACCGTCTCGGTTAATCTCAGACATTAACCGTGGCGGTTGAAAAGCCTGCCCACCTCCGATGCCAATTTCAAAACGCTTGCAAAAGATTTTTTTTTTAGTAGTGTGGTGCAGAAGGTGAAATGATGATAACTGCAGTGCACGTGTTCCCAAGAGACCAGTACTTGGCTTTGATCTCTGGTGCTGTGATGATCGATCGATGCGAGCTCTGCTAGTGCTACTGGCAATGCCATTGCATTCGCGTGTCGACGACGTCTATGTACGAAACTATGAACTGATTTTGGCGGCTGTGTTTGAATAAAACGCCGGAGGTCAGTTTATCTATTAGTAGCGCAATTACGAAACTTCAGACATCAAACTGTGGTCGTGCCAGAGTGGTTATCGGGCATGACTAGAAATCATGTGGGCTCTGCCCGCGCAGGTTCGAATCCTGCCGACCACGTTTTTTTTTACTTTGTTCTTTGGAATCTTTTCTTCCCTTGTTTGGCATCTTAATCTTGGGAAGTTTTCTTTTGTTTTCTTATTATCTGACGTCAAAAGACTTTGGGTATTTTTTTTTGGCATTTTATTTAGTCTTTGGAACTTCTCGTTAAAACTCCACCAGTGAATAGTGATATTGAATTGAATTTGATGGCAACCCAACCATGCTTCTCTTAGGTCGAGTCGAGCATGAGCTATGGTTTTAACACTCATTTGCAGAACTGCCACGGTTCGCATGAAGTGATGAGCAACTGTAAACCTGTAACAAGCCATGCACACCCATTAACAAGCCATGCAAAGGGGCGACAAAAAATTCCAAGAAGATCTCAACCAAGGCCAAAAGTCATCTTTTCTCCACCAATTTGTTGTCTTCCTCTAAATCTAACGGTAGTAGCACCTAGGTCCGATCTAGAGACGAAATAGAGGATGCCATGTTACTATGGCCCTGTTTGGTTACCCTCCTAAAAGCTTTGGGCATCACAAGTTCATAAAAGTTTTAGTGCTTAGAGTAAAACCTCAAACTCCTTGATATCTCTATCATAAAGAAGGGTAAAATATTTGTTCAACAACATTTATTGCTTTTAGTTAGTTTTAGGAGGTACAACCAAACACTCTTTTAGAATGTTTTAGAAGGCTACCTAAAATTTTTAGGAACTAAAGTTTTAGGAGCTCGGAACCAAACAGGGCCTATGTTAGGCAATGGGCATCACAAATTCTTTTTAGTGCATTTGTATCACGCTCCTTGATATCATGTCATGCGTATATATGCAGCCTGTTCGTTTCGGCTAGATTGACTTATAAGCCATAGCTAAAAGTATTGTTTGCTAATTTGACGTGAGAGAAAAATACTGTTCAAGCTATGGATTATAAGTCAGATACGAGCAATCCAGCCGAAACGGGTGACGTGTTACTTTTTTTTTTTGATCGAACAGACGTGTTACATTTTGATTCATTTCGCACGGTCTCACCTCCTTACTGATTCATATGTGGCATGCCGTCATTTCAGCAAGATTTGGATTGACATACCAATGATCCAAGTACAAATTAGTGGTGATTGTATCCCTAACTGTGTGAGATACGTTATTGGTTAGCTGATACCCGTGCACACGTTGTGAGGCTTCTATTGGTTTGCCTAGACCCAAAATAAATATATTCTTCATCTAGGGCTTCGTTCAAACGAGGTTAATGCCTGTTTAGCGTATCTTCTTGTGACTTAGCTTCCCGTCTGCGCTAGCTACTGTTGTAAAATATTATGAGTTATTAGCTTTGTTCTGCAGCACTACTTCAACGGTATTTTTCAACGAATGAATATTATTTTTCTCTCCCAACAAATTAGCATAAACATTAACATAAGCTAAATTTCAACAAAACATACTGGACTATTTTTCTCTCTCCTCAAAAAATACACTAGAATCTAGAAACTAATGAACCTTTAAAAAACAGCTCCACTATCTCTTCTAGAGCCGAAATCTCGAGAATCCCCACCAAACAAGTCATCTTCCATGGGATTCGCTTGAACTTATCAACGGTTTATCAGCTAAAATCTACAGTATTTTTCTCTCACAATAAAACAGCTTCAACCGGCTTTAATACCAGTCGAATATGCCCTTGTTTTCGATAGATAAGGGAGTTCAAACTACTGCACGCGTTGGATTTCACGCACCCAATTAGTTACTCCTCCAATCCAATCGATGCACTTCGTGCAACTTGCCGGTGTGTCTGGGGTTGAGATTATTATTTGCAGCATGATGTGATTAGCTACAGAACAAGAGATTTAAGCAGATCTCAGCTGATTTGCTCAGGTTCCCTTTTTTTCTTCTTGATTTCAACATTGCGTGCTGGTTGCTGCTACGAGTTTCCTGCTGGCCTTTTGAATGTGATCATGAACCGATGATCTTTCTAGGGCTGGGAGATCGTATCCGAATATATATGGTCCGTAGCCACGCAACCAGACACGTTAACCATCGCCATATACGCTACCACTGTGTAAGAAAAATCAAGGTTCCATTTTTATCCATCCAAATTAAACGATTGAAAACCTAGCTAACAGCAAATAGGTACTTCGTTAGTCATGT